CATCCACCTCCCACTTGCTTCGGTTTAGCTTACTGGCGTTGCACCTTCGCCAGTTCCTGCCGTCGGCCGCTGTGGCTCATTCATAGGACAGATGCACACAAAACATACATACATACATACATACACACGCACCTGCACTTCCTCGGCCCTCGTGGCCGCAATAGCCGCCTGAGTGCCGCCCCCCTGGCTCAAGGGGAGGCCGCCCTGACTGCCGCCGCCGCCGTCACCCCCGGCGACCTCGGCCGCCGCCACTCGAGCCGCCTTCCGCGCCTCCTTCCAGGGAAGGTACAAAAACTCAGTGAGCAGCAGTACGAGATCTTGCTGTACGGCGGCGGGCAGGTTCTCCTTTAGGTTCCACACGAACCTGCGGGAGGTGTCGTGGGTGGGTACTGGAAGGGTCTAGGGGTCTAGGGGTTGGGGGAGAGTTGAGAGGTAGGGGTTGTGCAAGGAAAGGTAAGCGGAAGGTGGTTAAGGGGAATTTCCGCATCACCGCCTCCACACTGAGCAGAGGAACCGGCCGCAGTACACGGCTGTCCTCCCACCAGAACAAATATTAGACCCTGTACCGCCCGCCATCCGCTCTAACATTATACACACACCGCACACCCAAAACATTTCCCCCCGAACACCCCCCCATGCACACACACACACACACCAAGCAACCCACTTGACTACGGGCTCCTCGTCCGCAGCAGCAGCAGCAGCGGCAGTTGGGCCCCCCAGGTCGTCCTCGCCGTCGTGCACCTCCCCCGGACCGCCCGCAGCCGTACCACCACCCGCCTCCAGCGCCCGCCACTCCGTTCCCGCCACACTGCTCTCTAGCCCAGCCCAGTTGTACGGATCGCGGTACATGTAGGACAGGGACCACGCGGCTGGGACGAGCTCCAGCCAGCGGAACAGCTCCCTGCCCCGCATGGCCTCCAGGAGAAACCGGGTGTATCTGCCCGGGGGGGGAAGGGGGAAGGGGGGAGGGGGGGAGGAGGGAGGATGGGAATGCGCCGAAGTTTTGTCAACACAGAATACACAATGCAATGCAGGTTTAGGGTTTCACTCCAAAGCGGCCTCTCCCCCTTCCCGCGAAGAAGTGATTTATCTCCCCTTCGCCTTCACCTTCACCGTCGCCTAGCTTTTTCTTGTTAATTCCGTATCTTTTAGTTGTGTGTCACAGTTCCCTTTCCTTCACCTTTCCGTCTCCTTCCCTCCCCCCTCTCTGCTCTCACTCACCCCGCCGCCGCTCGCACGTTCCGCTTGCCCGTGCACAGCGTGATGGAGTTTGTGTTGGCCGCCACTATGACCGCCCCCAGTCGCCGCATCTCCGAGCACAGCTGCAGAAACAGCTTGTGCTGCAGCTGCAACAGCGCCCGGTGCAGGCCGGGGTCGTGCAGGGGGGAGGAGGGGTTCGACAGCCAGCGGTACGAGTTCTGAAGAAGACTGTCCGCTATCCTGTGGGGGGGTGTGAGGAGGGTGTGAGGAGATAGATGTGTGGGCGGGTGGGGTGGGGGTTGTGTGTGTGTGTGTGTGTGTGGTGTTAGTAAGGGGGACGGGGAGTTGAGGCATGGAATGACAGAAGTATGGACCAGGTGTACCAGGGCTATTGTACCTTTGCACCCCTTCCTCCTCCCCGCCGTGGAATATATATACACATACATACAGTGACGCACATAACTTATATACAAGACCTTTAACCGGACCCACATGTTTCGGTTGACAGTTGCGTCCCGAATCCACGAGGCCTGCAGCGCACGCAACACCTTGAACCCCGCCGCGCCGTTGCTCCCGCCAAAACCGCCGCCGCCGCCGCCACCCGCCACCGCTGCGGCGGCAGCGGCTCCCGACGCCGCGCCCTCCAGCTCCGCCAGCAGGTCCGCGGACTCCACCGCCGCCACCGCCAGATGATGCAGCCGCAACGTAACGCACACGGAGCGATACACACCCGGGTACGACAGCTCACTGCGGGGCCGGGTGGCGGCGCTGACGGCCTCTGCAGCTCCCGTATCTTCGTGGGGATCACCCTCCGCGGTTTCGGAGCCTGTCAATTTTCTCCCCCGCAGGACATGGTAGGGGAAAATGTGGGCAACGAGGGGTTTCGGAGCGTGTGGTGGAATTTTCTATCCGACGGTAAAAGATAACCCGCCAGCTACCCCACCACCCCACGACAACGGCCTCGTTACCGGGCCCCTGGGTGAGTGTGGGACTCCTGAGCCACCTCACCAACCGAGATCCGCCACCGGTCACTCCCACCCATTAACGTCACATCGCGGTCCTGGCCCCCCGCCACCACCCCCACC